AAGTTAACAATGAATCACAGTGACTTTATGAACAATGGATCTGATCTTTGTCCTATTCTGTGCCATCCTCATCATCCTCTACATAAATAAGTTGTGTGGGCTCCCTAACAAAGGGAATGCTCAGTTTTGCCAACCTGCTAAGCTCAAGGAGAGAGAGCAGAGAGGACACCTTATTCATAAGAAAGCTAAGCCAGGAAAAAGAGTATGTCCTGTGTAGCCAGAGTTCCTGCAAGGTGAGCTTCCCAGCCCACAAATCAAATCAGCTACAGTGAGCAGGCTGAGAAGTTTTGGGCTGCCTCCAGTTCCTGGCAGAACAGGGGGTCTCTGGGTACTTGTGGCAGAGCTAGGCCTGCCGACCTTCAGAGTGAAAGATGAGCAGCAGTGGACCTACGATTATGGGCAGAGTGGGGTGCTCGTAGGGACTTAGTGGTTGAGCAAGAGCCGGAGAGAGACAATCAAGATTGAGCGAAAGCCATCCTGATCAAACTGTATCCTTAATCATATCTGAAGCTGAAATTTTAATTTATTGCTTTCCTAAACAAACCCCATAATCACTGAATAATGTCCGTGTGGTCACTGCAAAAAGTTTTTAAACCCAGCAGAGAAGTAGAGTGCTGTGGGAGGGACAGCAGATATAAAAAATGGTAAAATGGTTGGAGTAGGGAGGTAGATGTGACTTCTGTTGCACAGAAATCCATTCTGGGCTGAGTGTGATGTTGCTTCTTGCGTCTCCTTATGAAGTTAGAGGAGGTGAGAGGTCCCCAGGCTATTTGTGGAGAGGCAGAAGAATATGATAGCTATTTGCGTTTGGAATTTACACTCAAGTTGCATCAAGTCTCATTTCCTCAACTTGCAGTTTGGCTTGAAGCCAATTACATGACTGCTCAACGTCTCTTTGCTCACCTGCCAACTGAGAACAAACCAAATTCACTGCCATGGAGTTGAGCTGGACATATAGCAACCCTTCATCAGGCTTCCAAAGAGACATGCGGTATTTCTCCCACAGAGCTGCTGGTAGACTCCAACCACCTCTGGGTTAGCAGCCCAGCACACAACAAACTACACCACCAGTGCTCCCGTGCAAAATGAGGTTATCAGTCTCATCTTAATGGCTTGTTGTCAGCTTTCAACTACAACAGAGCCATGCCTATATTAATTTATCGTTCTTGTGTACCATAAGGTCAGAACCAACCAACAGCTGACCTCCAGTGGGTTTTGAAAGGCAGTAAATCACATGGAAAGAGATTGGCCATCTTTCTCGCTTGGAGCAGCTGGTGGATTCAAATCAAGTGCCTTTAAGTTGACAACACAGCTTCTTATCACTAGGCCACCAAAGCTCCCCATAAATTATTAACAGTCATTTTATGAGGCATTCCACAATCAAGAGCTTAGGAAAACTCAGGAGGCAATAACATTCATATTTAGGTAACTACTGTCCAGTAAAGCTCATTCAGGAGGTGTAGTGTAAGATGGTGTGAGGGACTTTACAGATTACAGAGTAAGAGGGCTACAGTGTGCATAGCAATCAAAGGACCCAGAGAGCTATGAGTGTTCAGGCAAGAGGCTGAGGTCAGAGGAGGACGGCTCCAGGCCTGAAATAAAGTAGGACTGAGTAATATTTTGTTCTATTGTACACAGGGTTACTATAGTTGCAACTGCCCCAACAGCAACATTAAGAATTTAAATTAAGATAACTTTATTTATCTAGTGGGAGAAACATGCAGAGGTCTACTTTCATACAGCTCTGGAAATCCTCTGGGGCAGTTCTGTCAAAGAACCAACTCAACAGTAATGGGCTTGATTTGTATTTTTTCCAGGGTACTTTAATCTAGGTTTGGTTTTTTTTTTAACAAAGTCTGAGTTTTAAATATGCATCAGACACTGCTGATTGAGTGACAACATCCAGAAATTTCTCTAACACTGGTAGAAAGGACCAGTACTCCAGTGACTGTTCTGCTCTGCTGCCTGTAGGATCGGTCAGTCCAAAAACCTCCAAAAAGTTCTATGAAGTGAGAAGTGGTGAAAAGACAGAAAGGAACAAAAAAAATCATTAAAAGTGTAAAAAGAGAATTGTGGACAATTGCCAATTTTATCTTCCTATAAAAGAATAGATAGCAGTTAAAGTCAGCTTGACAAGGTCAAACCATATTAGTGGTTCCTGAAAGTGTCATAAATTTTATCTGTGTATGTGGGAAGCCAAACTTTATACCAAATAGTATATGAAAACCCTTGTTCAGGAATTGAAGAAATTAGATATGTAAGTTAGGATTTCTCTTGTAGCAGATCCTAGAAGGTGAGCTGTTTGTTCCCTACAAAACAGGAAACAGCAAGGGGCCCCCTACAGATGGAGTGTTACTTCCTAGGCTGGAATTCACCCTGAGGCATCAAGGTTTTAAATAGATTGGCTTCGTTTGCATGGAATTCTTTTTTGTAACTTACTTCCTGTTGGTTTTGAATAAAAAGACAGAGAAGCTTGGCTTGAGGTCTTCAGTCAAGAACTGCTGATGCCCTGTTTTATGCTCTCTGCTCTATCTCATTCCTGGCTGTTTGTCTATTCTATTCTTTGGGACCCTCGGTCTGCAACATGTGTAACCAAAACAAACCGGGCCATATGGACATATCTCTTTTTATTGCACTTCAGATAGTGCCTTTAAAAAAAAAACAAACATGTAAATGAAAGGTTTGTGGCAACCTTTATGCGACCAACAATAAAAAGTTCACTCTTAGTCTATCAGGTAATTGAGAGATGCCTTATTAAGTTGAAGTCCTTTACTTTCAAAGTAGTTGAGAGGTCTTCTTAAAAAGTTGACATATGGATGGTGTTACACTATCTCTAAAACCTTTACAAGACCAGACCAATGAGTCTAGCATATAGTCATGGGGCCCAAACACCTGGACTAAAGAAACTACTATGGAAGTTGAATTACATTCTGTAGCTCTGTGTATCCTTAACAAAGCTCCCTCAGAGTTGGGACAGATTTGGGAAGCCCATACCCACCTCCTATATACCAGTAAATAATACACTGCTACTTTTCCCACTCCAATCCTAGTCGTAAAGTTTAACTTTCTGGTGGAAGAATGTGGCTTTGCAGTAATACTTCATTAAACAAATCTATGTATTTAAAAAATTCAAATACATTGGTATTGAGCCAGAATCAACTCATTGCTGACCCTCCATTGGGTTTCCCAAGTTGTAAATGGCATGGGAAGTGATTGCCCATCTTTTTTTGAGTCTTGAACATCCAAAGTTGGGTGAGCCCTGAAATTATGGCCTACAACAACAGAGCTGTCTAATTCAATTTTTTTCACCCATAAAGCTGCTGCTCATTTTAATGTCTTCATTATAGTGTAACTGTACCTTGTGTATGCATGAGGAAACAAATTTTTTTACTCTATTGTGCTGTTCTGGAATTAAACCTGCATGCCTGAAGTATATATTCAAAAATGCTGGTCTGGTAACACTATAAATACATATCCGAGAACTAACTGCATTTTTAACAAAACTGCCCTTATAGAAATAAAACTCAAGTTGATTCTGACTTGGTTCTAGAAATCACTGCCACAGAGCATATTTCACTTACAGATAGATATCTTACAAGGTAAATGGAACTGCCACATAGGGCTCTGAAAGCTGAAATCTTTATAGAAGCAGACTGCCAATCTTTCTTGCATTAAAGCAGCTTACTTCATGGCTGGGAGTTGGGTGCTTAATCACTGTATGTCACAGACACTTTTTATGGCTTCACAGAGTCAGTCGTTGGTTTTCCAGAAACAGATAACCAGGGTTTTCTTCCTAGGAGTCTCCAGGTGGACTTGAACCTCCAACCCAGCTGTTAAATTATGCCATCCAGGCACTCCACACTGGTGTTTCCAATCTTCAGCTATATTTCTTCCCCTCGACTATGTTATAAACTTTGTCTTTTCTCATCTAATTCTCCCGTTAAAGGTATCCCAATGAAGTAAGAGCTATCATTTTCTTCACCTTATGAATCAGAAAACTGAGGGTGGAGAGTTAACCCAGGGGAGCTCTGGTGGCCTAGTGGCAAGGACCTGCAACTACAATCCCAGAGGCACACGGTTCGAATCCACCAGATGCTCTGCTAGGGAAGAGAGGACAACCTCCTCCTGTACCAGTCAGATCTGATTTGACGGTACACTCACACACACACACACACACACACACACACACACACACAAAGAACAGATTTCAAAAGAAAAAGTCAGTTAACCGAGCCTAGCTTGAGCAGGGATTTGTCTTGCTTTAAATATCTTTACCATGAGTTTCCCTTCCCATTAACACTCTGCAAGTATAAGTGTTGAGAAAGGAAGATAAAAAGCATAAGGAGTGTTGAGAAAGGAAGATAAAAGGCATAAGGACTTAGTTCCATATACTCTGTAATGAATTAAAAAAAAAAAAATTAGGCAGCGCGTCTGCTGAGAAGAGGGCGGAGGCCCTCTCTCCTCTCCCAGAACTGTTATCTCTGAAAGGAAGAAATAAATCTCAACTATAAGCTTTGGTGCTGATTGTCCTCGCAAAGAGGAGCCCAATTCAGAGAGAAGAGAAAGCAAAAAGCATTCAGCATCAAAATACCAAGTCACGGGAAGCGGTTTCACAAATTCTTTGTAATCTGTTGAGAAGCAGAACTAGTGCACAGAGGAGCCCAGAGTCACAATTCTCCTTCTTCAGTCTTAGCTCTGCCACCAACCGGCTACGATCTGGATCACTTACTCCTCGCGACTGCACTCTGTTCGGTTAACACCGGGCTGAAGATACATAACACTTGTATTCCTCTCTCCAAGCTGCTTGGGGAAGGTCGAAGGGAGGGGCTGAAATGAGGTAACTCTTGCGAAAGCGCCTAGAAGAGAACTCGGTCCAAGTGAACCTTCTGATGGTTAAGAAGGTAGAAAAAGGATGGCATTTTAACGTTCCTTTTCACTCATCCCAAAACACACATGGTAAGGAGAAACACACAAGAGGAGCGTGTAACGGAAATACTCACTGTCGGATGACGGTCAGAGCGAAGCGGGTCATTTTCCTGCAGCCGGCACGCTGGCTGTCCATTACCGGTACACTCGCACCGCAGCCCACGGTGCCTCTGCACTGCGGGATCACTTTGCAGACACGACTTCCGCCAACCTCGAGCTGCCGGCCGGCTTCTCCGCTACTGGCTGAAGCGATCGTCTACGTCATCACAGAACAGCCAATCAGAGTGCTGAGAGGCCATAGGGCTGGGGGAGACTGGGAAACCATGAGACCCCGCCCAGAGCTGTGGCGCTTGCGCCCCTGCGCGTAGGCCTATGATTGGCGCGCGGCAGGTGTGTGCGGCGCACGCCCAAGAACTTAGTTGGGTGAAAGCGTTCTTGCCCTGGCTAACTTCGAATCCAGATATACTTTGTTGTTGTTTTGTGCTGTCGAGTCGCTTGCGACTCATAGCGACCCTATGTATAACAACCGTAATCCCTGCTCTGTCCTGGGCCAATCTGACTGTCTCTGACACACCCACCCCGATTACCCAAGCCACCTCATAGAGGAGGACCTTCCTCTCCTACGCTGTCCCAAGCATGACATCCCTGTCCATGGACCTGTCCCTCCTTGCAACATGCCAAAAGTATGTCAGACGAAGCCTCAGCATCCTTGCCTCCAAGGAGCAGCCTGGTTTAACCCTCTCTTGGGAGAATCTGTTTTCTTAGCAGTCCATGGTACACTCAGTAATCTTCTCCAGCAGCACAGCTCAAAGGCATCAATGCTCCTTCTATTCTCCCTAGTCATTGTCCACCTTTCTGATACATAGCAAGTGATTGCAAAGACCATGGCCTGTATCAGGTGCACCTTAGTCTCCAGAGTGACACCATTGCTCTTCAGTACCCCAGAGAGTTCCCTAACAGCAGACTTTCCCATTGCAGTACGTTTTTTGATTTCCTGGCTACTGGTGCCAAGAGTGTTGACCATAAAGCCAAGCGGACTAAAGTTGTTAACAATCTCAATCTCTTCACAATCCATCCTGATGCTGCCAATTGGTCCAGTGGTGAGAATCTTTTTCTTCTTGACATTAAGCCTCAATCTGTATTGAAGGCTGCAGTTCTTGACCTTCTGCAGCAAGCGCTTCAGGTCCTCCTCAGTTTCAGCAAGCAGGGTTATATGATCTGCATAACACAGATTGTTGATGAATCTTCCACCAATCCTGATGCCACACTTTTCCTCATAGAGCCTAGCCTCCCGGATAATCTGTTGTGCATATAGGTTGAAAAGGTAGGACATATAGGACACATCCCTGGTGTACACCCTTCCCAATTTTGAACCATGCAGTGTTTCCTTGATCTGTTCTGATGACTGCCTCTTGTTCCAAGTATAGGTTTCGCATTAGCACAATCAAGTGTTCTGGGATTCCCATTCTTCTCAGAGTCAGCCACAGTTTGTTATGATCCACACAGACAAACGCCTTTACATAATCAATAAAACACAGATAGACATTCCTCTGGTATTCCCTGCTTTCAGCTAAGATCCATCTAACATTAGCTACAATATCTCTAGTACCACAACCCCTTCAAAACCCAGTCTAAACATAAATACAGTTTAGATAATGTAAACAGCCCCCTGATTTTTTATTTATTTGATTTGACACTGAAATGCAGCCATTAGGTGCTTTTAACTGGCAAGAGTGAAGAATACCATACAGGTGAACAAAGCCAGACAAATTGAGGCCATTGACATTTAGCCATTGATCCTTCCAATGTTGAGACTGTAGTGTGAGCAAGGTCAGCTGCATGAGCTAAAATGTATCCAGTTTCTGTCCCACATTCAGTTACAGACTTTCATGACATTGACAATTGCTTAACCTGTGATAGGTAGCCTATGGGGACGACAATGTTGTTGTATGCTGTCATAGTGACCCTATGTACAACAACCCTAAAACCTACTTTATCTTGTGCCTATTTTGTGTGTCTCTGACACAGCCACCCTCATTACACCACTGAGTTGATCCATCTCATCAAAGGTCTTCCTTTCTTGTGCTGTCCCTCCACCCTTCCAAGCATAATGTCCCTCTCCAAGGAGTAGTCACTCCTTGCAACATGTCCAAAGGATGTCAGAAGAAGCCTTTGAATTCTTGCCTCCAAAGAGCAGCCTGGTTTCATCCTCTGCAAGACAAATCAGCTCAAAGGCATCAGTTATCTTTCTAGCATTCCTAGTCATTGTCCAGCTTTCTGACGAATAGCAAGTAATTGCAAAGAGTATGTCCTGAATCAGGTGCACATTAATCTCCAAACTGAAGTTGTTGCTCTTCAGTACTTTGGAGAGGTCCCTGACAGCTAACACTCCCAATGTAATTCGTCTTTTTATTTCCTGCCTGCCGGCACCAAAAGTGCTGATTGTGGAGCTAAGCAAACTAAAGCTGTTAATAATCTCAATCTCTACACTAACTATTATGATGCTGTCAGTTGGCCCAGTGTAAATCTTTGTTTTCTTGATGTTGAGATTCAATGCATGTTGAAAACTACAGTCCTTGAACTTCAGCAACAAATACCTCAAGTCCTAAGTTTCAGCAAGCAGGTTTATGTCTTCTGCATAACACAGGTTGTTGATGAGTCTTCCTCCAATCCTGATGCCAGGTTCTGGCTGATCTGGTCTTCATATAGATTGAAAAGGTATGGAGCTAGGACACATCCCTGGTGTACACCCTTCCCAATTATGAGCCATACAGTGTTTCCTTGCTCTGTTCTGGTGACTGCCTCCTGGTCCAAGTATCAGTTTTACATAAGATTGATCAACTGTTCTGGAATTCCCATTTTTCGCAGAGTCAGCCACAGTTAGATGTGATCCACACAAACAAATGCCTTTGCATAGTCAATGAAACACAGATAGATATTCCTCTGATACTCTCTGCTTTCAGCCAAGATTCATCTAACATTAGTTATGATATCCCTAGTACCATGACCTCTTCTAAACCCAGCCAGCACATCTGACAGTTGGATAAATTTCAGCAGAAACTTGCTTGCACGAGATATTTATTAATGATACTGTTCTAGCTGTAATAATACTAGCTAGCTAGTGGTTGTGTTCAATGCATCTTCACCTATAATATTTAAAAATACATTTGCTTTCCTGAATCCTTATTTAAATATCAGAAGGATTTAAAGGAGTTAAAGATGTTGTTGTTGTTGTTGTTGTTGTTGTTGTTGTT